TTCCTGCTCCTCTGATGCTGCCTGGCCTGCGTGTTCATCCAGCTCTATACCTTGTTATCTCAGATTCTCCAGCATCTGCAGTTCCTACAATTCTCTGCCTGCATTATTTGTTCAAGTCTAAATGTGGAATTTGAATCCACAAACTAGATTCTGAAGAAAATTATATGAAAAATGTTCAACCAATAACTGAGAAATGCAGATCATTTACTGTACCAAAAGAGTTCAGCCACTGAGGTTCAGTTTCATAGAATTTTGTAGGATCAGTGTGGAAGCAGACCCTTTAGAGCAAACTGACCCTCCGAAGAGCATCCCACCCAGACCTAATTCCCTACGCTACCCTATCCCAGTAACCTTGCCTTTCCCATGGGTAATTCATCTAGCCTGCAAATCCCTGGACACAATGGGCAATGTAGCATGGCCAATTCACCTAACCTGCACATCTTTGGAAGGAAACCAGAGCACCCGAAGGAAACCCGTGCAGACTTGGAAAGAATATGCAAACTCCGCACAGACAGTCTCTCAAGGGTAGAATCAAACCCGGGTCCCTCGTGCTTTGAGACAGCAGTGCTATCCAATGAGCTACCAGGGTTCAAATTTCAAATGAGCAACGCCAGCAGAACCCAGGGCAATACTTAATGCACCCTCTGAAGGGAGTAGGGAGGTGGGCACATTTAATTGAGCTGTCAAATTCCCTCCCGCCTCAACCCTGAGCCACCTCCTCAGTGACAGTGTTGAATAGGGCACTGCTGCTGCTCTCTACTTGGCCAGCAGCTCCTGGGAAGTGGGATTTCCACCCAAGGTCATTGATCTACAGAATGACCACCACTGCCCAGTTAAGTGTTTGATTTAATTGCCTAATTCCCAAAACTAGACATTGTGGAGCTCTGACTGGTTCTCCAGCTGGTGGGTAAGAGTCCTTTTACCTACATTAAATGACCATTTCCATTAGAATTCAATTTCCATTAGAATGGCTACAGATGGAGCTGAAGAATAGCAGACACACCAGACCAGCTCAGCAGTCTCTCCCAGTTTTGAAAAAGGGCTGGAAACAGGCTGGTCACATGACCAATACCAGACTGGGTTCAAAATTAAATTTTCAAATATGAATTCAACCACCAACTAATCAAAAACGAATGCTCCCTTTAAAGATTTGGAAGATTGCAGTGTTGAGATGTGGATCGGTTTTTTGAGTATTTTGATTTTCATTGTTTGAGGTGGGTGTTCTGAGGAGGCTTCAGGCTTGAGAGGGCTGTACATTCTTACAGGGCTGCTGCATGGTCGCGCAGTTCAGATTGGTTTAGCTATGCAGGGAGTGGATTGATGTAATGTGCTGTCCCAGGTTAGATTCTCTTGGTTGAGAAATGGTTTGCACCCATCGGCCCAAGTCTGATTGTCTCAGGTTACTTTTTCATACTGGCCATCCTTGCAGTGCTGAGTTACCGCCTGGCTTTCTTTGTTGAAGAAACACACAGTTCATTAGCACAGGGAACAAATAATATTCTTAACAAACCTGTTAGATCAAGTTATGATAGACCTCCAGGGCAAATCCGACTTGACCCCAGATATTCTTGTTGGGGACTCTACCAGTTTATTACAAACTCCCAATAGTTCATCACTGTGGATAGTGTCTGTGTTCATGAGCCCATTAACAAGTCAGGCACAGGGCTAGGGTCAGCACCAGGACCGAGACAGCGGGTGAGGTGAACCCATCAATATATGTGGCCAATAACGAGTGTGAAGCTAAGTATTCACAAGTGTGGCTGTCAGTGACCCAAAATAAAAATACTAGACGTAAAGACATCTGGTATAGGAAAAGGGAAAGACCAGTGAGGGTCTGATATAGGACCAGACAAATGACCACCCCAGCATCTATCCATTGTCTGCTGTCAAGTTGATTTGCACAACTGGAATGACAACTGAGGTATCTCTGAATCAGGGCAAGGATATGTCAAAATGCACATTGCTAATTATTATCTACTGATATCTATTGGCAAGTGCACTTATTCGAATGTTAGCTATAATATTTTTCAAAGTTGAACCAACTACCAACATTCTTCACTCCAACCCCCAGGATAGACTGAAAATTTAAGAATGGACATCTGAGCAACACAAAGAGAGGCAACTTGATCCCATCATAAGCTACACTATCAAAAGACAGTGCCTAGTGAACTGTTGCCCAACAAAATTCAACAGGCAGGGAACTGTATCATATTACTTACTGCCCATGGGGACAGAGCTCCAAGATAAATCAGTGCCTGAGAACAAGAGCCAAATAAGGTCAATGACTCGGTAATTGCAGCTACAGAAGAGTCAATACCTTGAAAAGTGTATCTGAGGAAGGTTAACATTATTAACAGAAAGGGGTGTAATAAAGCTTTAAACAGTAGTTGTTTTTACTGAAAATGTAATTTTATAATAATCTGATTTATTCTTTGCAGTTTGTAGAAATGGAAGAAACTCTGATATGGGAGCAGCACACAGTGTTGATAAATCGGGTAAATTTATGTTTTTTTCTCTCTGCATTACTTTCAGTAAAAGTAAAAATGGCAGAGAACAATGTGCCATTTTTCATCTGTCTGGATGTAAATAATATACCTCAAGAAACTAATAAACTGATTAGTAACAAAATTCAGAACGTTGGTAGGGTGTGGCCCAAGGAAGAATGCAGAAATGCAGATCAAGATTCTGGAATTTTTAAAAGTCTGTTAACACTGGGAGATAAGGCAAATTGCTTTCTTTTTAGAATATTGTGGGTTGTTTCTGTCAGAATTTTGTTGATTATTTAAGAATGTTTTAAATTGTCTTAGCTATAGTGGTGAAATTTGTCACAGCTGTCAAAATTTGAGCAGTGTTTTAAGAGACCGTAGTTGGATGTGGATTAGCCTGATGCTTCATCAGTAAGATGGAAGCCCTTAATAAAAAAAGTTTATCTATTTTTAAATTTGTAGTTACAGAGCATCAACCAGCCATGGAAAAGCCTCAAGGGAGAATTGTGTAATTGTAATATTGTTGGGTTAACCCGCCGTGCCCATCTCATTGATCCCCAGTTTTACTTCAGAACCTATGATGTTGGAACTGGTCAGCTGATCCATCCTACCTATTCCACACATCACTTCGCAATCTACCCTGATATGAATTTCACCTCATCCACTGAATCTCTCTCCAGTGTCCAAATATGATCCATTTACCATGGATCCTTCCTAAATTATTTAATTCCTTAATACTTCCTGGTTCACAATGGGATAAATCAGTGAAGGATTGTTGCTTCTCTCTGTTGATTCATTGTAACAGATTGAGTTCAAAGAATAAAACAACTCCTCTTAGAAAAGGGAAAGGATGCAGTGTCAGTAAACAAAAGTATCTTAAGCTACTTTTACCCTGGTTGTTGTTTTAATTCAAATTCCAGAAGACTGTGAACCTGTTCCCTGTATTTACACTGCCAAACCAGATTATTTTATCCAGGAACTGACTCATGAACCATAAAGAATTGAACCTGATAATGGAATAAATGAACCAGAATTTCAATGCAAAATCGAAGCACAGGCCTTAACGAGCTCTCCCAACCCTTGACATTTTGATGAGAACCTTGAGTTTATGAGCTCAGGCAACTAACAGGAACAGGAAGAAGCCTGATTAATCCATACAAGTCTGGGTCCTGCCAATAGGCCCACACTGCTGTGTTGAAATACCAGTGGGTAGAACATAGGTCCTGCATGCTCTGAACATCATTCCCTGGCTGTGAGCAACATAGCCAGTGAACTTAAAGGACTGCTGCAGATCGCTCAAAAAAAGTTTTAAAATATAGATTGTACATGATTGTTGCCAGACTTAGTTTAAGAAGTTTGTCAATGATTTATGCAGATCCAGCAGCAACATTAAAGCCCTAAAATAAATGCCCTCTATTTCTCAATGCCCAGATTGCTAATAACCCTATCCCCATCATGCCAAACTTTTCATACAATAGCTAGGATTTCTCACCCCTCTTCGATCTCCAAGCTGCTCGAACAGGCAGGCAGTTCTCCAACTTCCATCTTTTTCCATCTGACCGGAGGCTCCCTGCTAGCTCTAGGTATGAGAAATCAGGGTAAACTTTTCCTTTAGCAGTAACTCAAAACCAACGTTAGTGTACTACAACCTGTTATGCATTCTGCATGATTTTAGTTCCCATTGGCATAGTGTAAAATTAGCTCATAATGCATAATCACCATTTGTGTTCCTGGTCAGTCAATTTCAGTCAACTTTTACTATGGTAAGAATTAAACAATTAAGCACAGATTGGGGGGGGAGGGTGTCAGTTAGTTTACATATCTTACGATGTGATGCAGAATGGCATCAATGGGCATGGGGTCAGTCCTTGTACTGGCTTGGATAGTTCCTGGAGACCTGTTCCTCACCTTACCTCATACTCGCAGTGTGCTGCCTTTCAAGCTATAAGGCCAATAGTCTAATGGAGAGAGATGCCTATGATCATTTGTGGAGTATAATAAGCTCTTTCTATTATACCTTAGACCCAAAATCATAAAAGAATCTCCTGATGCACCCATTTGGCAATCATTTCATCTTGGTGCCTGTAGTAATTCTTTGTCTTTTATAATTTTGTTGCAGGATTCGAAGATCGGATTTGGTATTGCAATATCTGGAGGAACAGACAAACCCAACAGTACCACTGGGGAAACTGCCATTCTTGTTTCAGATGTTGTTCGATCTGGACCAGCTGAAGGGAAGATTATGTGTGTAAAAAGATCAGACTTATTTTATCCATAATTCAAAGAGGCAAAGATATATAACACAAGTCTTGAAATATGTGTACCTGTCTATCTTTATTTGCACACTAGAGGGCCCCCAAATAGGAGTTAGTATATTATAGCAATTGCTCTTAGAATTATTTATTTTCTGATGTTTCAATTAGATATTCCAAAATGTTTGATTGAAAAACATCCATTGCATTGTCACACCAACTTCAGTGCTTCAAATATAACAGTTACGGTCTCTTCCAGTCGGCAAAAATGGTGATTTAATTCTGGAGTAATGCAACATAAAAAATGGCTTATTATATTTTATTAGTAGCTTGTAACATTATACCCCAGATCATCACAATCCTTCATTTGCTTGCAATTCATTGGAACTACACTTGTATATGGAACAATCACCAGGTCCCAAGTGCATCCTAGATTATAACGACAGAACATTACAACAGTGGCTGAAAGAAATGAAGAGGAGGAGATATGATTCAAACTTCATCTCAGGGAATATTGACGATTATAATAATAGCCAGACTCTTGGAAAAAATAAATCTTGAAAAAGCTCTTTCTTCCCTTTGTTGGTCTGCTGTGCTGATGCATTGACCGCCTTGAATCAAGAGGACAGCCAGGCAATCTAGTCTTAGGTCTCTTGATAAGCTGTTAAGAGAAAGGCTGGTGGCTAAGAATAATTGTTCCACCACGTGGTTGAGATAGTGAACTCAAATTCCAGAGAACTCTGAGAATTACAACCTAATCACACTCGCTGACTCCAAAATACTCTGTCAAAATTCGGCCATTTTAAATTCTTACTTTCAGTGTAAAACTGACTTTGATGTAAGGTCAACATGGTACAAATCATCTGTCTCATTTCCTTGCATAGTCATTAAGAACTACAATGGTAGCTTGATCATTTTTGTGCTGATTGAAGTATCATGTCAGTGGTGAAAAATCAAATCACTTTTCCTACTGTTCTCCCAACGCTGTTTGCTCACATAAAGCCAAGTCAGATGCACACTGGTAGGATGCAAACTAAATCCTCAATGCTGTCCCATCACACACATCCCTGTCATCCATGTCAGGGGTTTGCTACAGAGTGAAGACCCCTCTGTACTGCCCTGACAAATTACAATGCCCAACTCCACACAAATGCCTCTGCTATGGCAATAGGATGTCTTTCTACCATTCACCATGTGAAGGCTGCCTGATTTAAGATCCATGCATAAGCATGTTCCAACAGGGGTAACTGACTAGTGATCACAAGCAGGAAACATGGTGAATATTTTCTGTGCTAGCCCAAAGGCCAGTCACAAGACACCTTGTGTCCATCCCAGTTGAAATCAACCAACTCAAGAGGCAAATCTGAAACAGATTTCACTCATAGAAGAATTGGAGAGTGTTGATGTAGGTGAACTGAAACACTGTAACAAGGAACATCAAACTCAAAACCGCACATAGAATAATGTTGAATAACATCATTAGCTCAGTGACCTTATTCAGTAATGAAATAGGACACCAAACCTCAGATGATACCAGACTTATTTTCTGTCTATCTGATCTCAGTAAGAGCAAAAGCTGTGGAGCAGAATTTACCTCAGCTCTGTCACTATTAAGAGCAGATAAAACATATGGGTATCTGCTCCTTCCAGGTTTCATGTAGAAGCTGGGATCCAAATGTGAATGGACTGAAATCAGGCAATATCCTATCAGTCACATCTTACACACTCTGGCCAATACCCACTTGTCCCAATTTCAATTACCCGTTGCACTGTATAATTGACAGCAATTGTGATTCAAGTCTTCGGAGGTCCTGTCCATGTCCTATTTCAACCCCAGTGATTGACAATGAGATTAGGGTTGGATGGAAACCTGGCTACATTTGAATATCCTGACAACAATCCTGCCTGAAATTTCTCTCTGGAGTTGCAAGTGCAGATTTGGGACAATTTCCAATACTGCAAATCCAACTCAGGATTGGATTTGAACTTTGAATTTTCATTCAAAGGAAGGGGTAGATTTTCAGGGAGTCATGGCAGGTGACCCTGGAAACAGCACAGAGGCTACCAGGGGTGGAGGCAGGTTGTGCGTAAGGCTTGCCTCTTTGTACCAATGCTTTGTTGATGATTTAGGAAAAGGGATGAAGTAAAAAACATGCCTCAGATCCACTTATTGCCCCTCCTTTTCTCTATGCTCCATCCATAGTAACTCAAGGTACCTCATGCCCTCCACACTGCCTCCCAATGGCCCTCCATACCAGCCCATGCCTCTTCTGTGACCCTTTATTGTCTCTATGCTCACAGTACCAATTCATGCCAACCTATGACCCGCTCACTACTTTTGCCCTTATACCTCCCATGCCAACTCACTCAGTATCCACAATGGGCAGGCCTTAAGATTCATGGTGAGATTAAATACATCTTTAAGGAATCTACTTGACGTGTTGTGGATCTTCTGTCCTGGTTGGAGAGCTGCAGAGAGACATGTGCCATCCTGTTCAGGAAAGCCCCACCAAAACATGTGCCAATCAGGCAGGATCACTAGCCCCATCCAGGCCTTCCCCTGGAATTAAGACCCTGTAGGTGCAAGGCCTGCCTGTCAATCAGGACCCTGGTAGCTCTTGCGTTCAATAGCAACAGAGAACACAGAACAGAGGTAAATGATGTGGAGGTTGGGGTTTTCTCAGTAGAAGAATGAGAGAGGGTAGAAAGTGCTAAGGGGTGGTGGCTCCCAGCTAGTAATCTCTGCATGATGTCCAGCTGCTCAAGCAGGCTTAACTGATTGTTTTTATCAAGTGTGCCCCCAAAGAAGTGACAAGCCATCCACAGATTAGCAACCATCATGAATGCTGGATGGTGATATGCCCACCTGCAGGGGGGTAAACCACAATACTCCTACCAGCTCTAAGGTGCACTTGTCATGTTTCCCACTCATGGCAATGAAAACCAATTATTGGAGGCAACTGCTGTTTCACATGGGCAGCTGCCTTCCTGAAGCACAGAATTGCAATGTGAAACCACCCCCCTCTACCTTTAAACCCCCTTTTAAAATGGTCAGTGCCATGTTTGGGGGCAGGATGCTGGATTTTGGCCCTTGGAGCCTGTTTAGAGAGAGGATGTCTGTTGTTTCAAATATTTAAGCCTCAGTAAATTGGATTCGCGTATCAACTTGCTGGAGCACCCCTTCCAAACTTTCAGACAGGAGCGGTGCTAACAGAAAATAACATAAAGCTATCCTTGTGAAAGGGTGTATTTCCAACTTTAATTTAAATGCTTCTTTCTCTTCAGGATAAAGGACAGGATTGTTATGGTGAATGGTGTTTCCATGGACAATGTGACCTCTTCTTTCGCCATTCAGAATCTAAAGCGTTCTGGCAAATCTGTGAACATAGTGAGTATCAAAGGATTCTGTGTCGACCTTAGGCAAAGAATCCTTTTAGTCTGAAATATCTATTATTATCTCTTTGCTCTGAGTCACACCAGTATGGGAGTGGCAACCCAAAAATTAAGCGTTTAAATTCCGCCAGACAGCTTGTGAATTGAATTAAATGCTGTTGCTCATTTTTGGACCAGCAGCAGAAGAAAAAACATCTGCAAGTTGCCTCCCCATCAGCTGAATACAACCAGTTTAATTTGTTCCTTTGGAATGCTCCTTCTAAACTAGCATGGACTGTTTGTAATGTCATTCCAGCACTTTTTGCCCTTAATAGCCTCAGGTTAAACAGGCATGGATAAAAAACCCTGGCTTGTCAGTTCTAACTGCAGTGTAAGAACGTATTGTAAAAAGATTAAACTGAAGAAATACAATTAATTTGTGATGACCTAACATAAAGTAAAACATTTATCAGTCAATGAAGTTCTTTTTAACTGAAAATCATTTTTGTAATATAAGGAAAAGCAGCAGGCAGTTTGGTTACAGGGAGATCAATTAAACTGTTTAGTGCTTGTCTGAGGGATAAATAGAGTCATAGAGATGTACAGCACAAAAAAAGACCCTGTGGTCTAACTAGTCCATGCCAACCAGATATCCCAAATCAATCCAGTCCCATTTGCCAGCATTTGGCCCATATCCCTCTAAACCCTTGCAATTCATGTATCCATCCAGATGCCTTTTAAATGTTGTAATTGTAACCACCTCCTCTGGCACCTTATTGCATACACGCACCACCCTCTGCATGAAACCGTTGCCGCTCAGGTCCCTTTTAAATCTTTCCCCTCTCACCGTAAACTCATGCCCTCTAGTTTTGGACTCACCTATCCTGAGGAAAAGATCATGGCTATTCACCCTATCCTTGCCCCTCATGACTTTATAAACCTCTATAAGGTCATCCCTCAGTCTCCGATGCTCCAGAGAAAATAGCCCCAGCCTATTCAGCCTCTCCCTATAGCTTAAACCCTCCAGTCCTGGCTACATCCTTGTAAATATTTTCTGAACCCTTTTCAAGTTTCACAACATCTTTCCTATAGCAAAGAGACCAGAATTGAAAGTAAAATTCCAAAAGTGGCCTAATTAACTCTTCTTTGAATAATATTGTGGGAATTCTTATGTCAGCTTGAAGGTTCTCAATTTAACACATCCAAAGAAGGTACCTCTGAAAATGTAGCAGTACTGCAATGAAGTGCTAGTTGAGATTTTGTGCTCAAGTTTGGAAGAACCTATGAAGCATTGAGCTGTCACTGAGTTGAGTCTGATACTTAAATAAGACTGTGTTTGTATATATTATAGAAATGGGAATAATGAAATGGTTGTGAGTCTCATTTACTTAATCAGTGTTCCGAGTGAGAGAGGGAACAAACAGTTAGAATCATTATCCAGTCATTAACTGAAAAATACATGTGCATATGAACTTATCTTGTGAGCTCTACCACGGTCAGTCAGCTTGACAGCACTAAACTCTAGATTTTCTGATTAGAATCATTTTAATAATAGTGACATTTAACAATCAGAGGCAGGAGGAAGGGAAAAAAAATCACAAGATGAATGCAATGTAAAGTACAGGAAAGAGCAAGGGCACAGCCAGCTCCTGCCAAGTTTCCACTAATTTTTTTTAGCATTTAACAATAAAAAGGAAAGCCAAATCTTTCTGTGACTTTAATGGAATGAGGTCAGATTGTATGAATGGTGATGAAAGAATATCTTTACAGAAGGGAATAGTGTCAACAAAAATTGAATATTTAAATGTGGAAGGCTTTCTTGGGCTTAATTTAAGAAGGAGAAGTTAAAATATTTTATAGAATCAGGAAAAGGCTTCAGTCCCAGCAGAGCCAACTCTTTTTAGAGATTAACCTTACCTACTGCCCTTCTTACCACTGAGTAATTCTATTAATCCCTTGGTGTACATATTCCCCAATTGAAGCATGAGCTACAGATGGGGCTACAACATTGTAACACCAATTTCTCCAACCCACACTTGCTACAAGTGCTGATCCACACTAGAAATGTCGGGTTGTGGGATATATCTCATATCTTTCTCTAGAAACACTTTTATGCATTCATCCTATTCAGACTGGTCACTTCAGCACCTTCCCAATAACATATTCGACAAATATATTACATTTTGGTTGATAGGTTTTTGGCTGGCCTCCATTCTGACTCCTAATGTCCTAATTTAAACTAACTGGGTTGGGTTAATGTGTTCTTTTTGGGCAGTCCTGGTTTTGATATGCAGATACTTGTTTGACTGCAATACTGAGTGATTTCATGCTACCTAATGGCTGTGCTCTTTTTTTTAAGACGGTGAAGAGGCCCCGTAAAATACAGATTCCTGTGACTAATGCAGCACCAGCTGCCAGCTATTATTCCAGTCGACCAGACTATGCACATGACGATGCCTCTGATGAAGATGAGGACTATGATCCAGCTGACAGGAGATTGAGAAGGATTCAGAACCAAAATCTGTACCACGGTGACTCCCATCACAATAATGACTATGACCAGGATTCCAGCAGAAACTACAGCTATGACCGAAGTCCCAGCCCCTCAAGGAGCTATGATCGAAGTCCCAGCCCCTCAAGGAGCTATGACCGAAGCCCCAACCCCTCAAGGAGCTATGACCGAAGCCCCAACCCCTCAAGGAGTTATAACTATCAACACAACCACCGGGATCACAGTGCTAGGAGGGTTAGACGAGAACACAACCCAAGTGGAAGTTACCATGATGAGTTTGATGATGATGATATGCATTACGTTCGGGCTAGGAAACCCATCAAGAGTTGCCTTTTTAAAAGTAATGCTAATGAAGGTGAGATTTCTCTCAATGGAAAACCAGAATTTTAATTTGGGTAACATATTTAGCATTGCACACACTGAATCATTGTTACTGCTGCTCTCTCTGAATCACCATTAGTACAGTTCTCTGTGAATCATTATTACTACTGCTGTCTCTGAATCACCAATAGTATTCCTCTCCCTGAATCACCATTACTACTGCTCTCTCTGAATCACCACTAGTTACCACTCTCTCTGAATCACCATTAGTACTGTTCTCTCTGAATCACCATTAGT